TAGAGTTCTCCGAAATTTGGTCTTAATTTGTCATATGAATGTGATTGAATGTGGCCAGACAATATGGGAATAAATCCACCATTTTTGACAAGCCCAAATTATTCCCATGATATCCCCACTTTACACGGTGAGACCTTCAAACAAATACAGTAGCCTCTCTTTCTACACCATGATCTACAATGTGTTGCCCAAGTTGTAAGTCGGTTCAAAACTCCAATTACAGTAAATATAAAATCTATTGCCACCATCATCTGCAGCATAGAGCCTAGATATCAAAAAGTGTATGTATATATATATATATATATATATTTGCAGTTATAGACATGTATACATATATATGTATACATGTAGCACTGTAGATATAGTAATACATAATATATATATATATACATATTCATATATTAAGGAATATTTGCTTAAATATTTATATTTAAAAATTGTATATATATATAAATCAAACAAGTTGGCGTTAGTTGGCTTACGATGGGACACCACATTGGGTCTCAGCAGAGTTCCAGGCTATCGCTTGCTTTGTCAAAGTGCAGCTGGGGGTATCGATTCAGCAGAGTCTGCGCCCAGGGCAACACGGCCCAAGGTGTCGCCGGGGTCGGCGCATGGGCGAAAGGAGCCGAACACATGGTATAACTTGCCGGATCCAGGATCCATTCTTCGGAAAGCCATGGAATTTTTATGAACATCCTACTACATGCAAAAAGCAAATGAGAAACAAAAGAATCAAATCCGATATTTGAATCAGCACTTCAGGGTTGAAGATGGATCAAGACTTGCACCATTCATCTGCCTGCCATACAGCCCCCCAAAAAGATAGAATCGTGTAAAATCCGTGTTAAAAAGAATGATACAGATTGTGTGTTCTTTTTTATGAGAGATTCTATACTCAGATAATCAACATGGACTTACTGGCCATCTTTGGGATATCTATAGCCATCTACCGCGCCTTGGGCAATCGTGTCAGCTGGTAGGGGCAATTCCTTGAGCGACAGGGTGGTGACCAAGAAGGAAGCCCTTTAGAAATATACTATATAACCTCGAGAGACATAAAACTTTAAACATGTTCCATATTTCAAAAAATGAGTTTGCTATATTGTACTAGGCTTGCTTGTGGTACGTACTGTGAAGGGCATGGGCCCAAAAAAATTGGGAAAGACATTGAAACAACAATTCATATATTGGGGTCCCGGGCCAGCTGTGTTGCTGCTCCTCTGACTTGACGACGATCTCAGGCGCTTAAGGTAAAGAAAGTGCCGTTGAAAAAAAAGGCCACTCCAAAAATGTGTTTGCCAATGGGAGCTTCAAGCAGCCAAGTACTGGCAGCGTATGTATTTTTGTTGTATATATAGCAATGAAAAAGCCATGAAATCCACTGGGACCCCCTGCTGACATCCCAAGGGGCCCCTTGCGCAGCACCATGAATCCTCGAAAGGCACGGCGACAGGATCCCGGATTGACACCCAAACATTGCCAAGAAATCGATGGTTAAACATGAAATTGGGGGTTATATAATGTTATATAATGACAAATCCATGTTTAACCATGTTATATGGGGGTTATATAATGTATTATAATGTTATATAACATTATGGGGGTTAATATAACAATGGTATATAATGGTTATATATAATGGTTATATCAATTGGGGGTTAAATATATGATATTGATATTGGCCTTTTTGTTCAAACGAGTCGCCAAGTCCATGAGTCTCCCATGATCGATGGAAGGGACTCCGAGAGTCTCACTGAATTTTCATGGCACCTCACCATGGCTGTCTTTACTCAATTTGATCTATGAAACAAACAGTACGTATTCCTATACTATGGCTTACAACTACCAATCCTTATTCACTCAGGTGCATAACCCGGACTTAAAACCAAGAGTTTGGTATTCTGATGGGTTTTATGATATAGCATATTATATTATGATATATTTATATTCTGTATTTTGAATGGTTCAAGAATCCAGGTATTAAGGCCCCAGTCTGCTTGGGTGAACCTGAGGCGGCCACCTGAGTCACCAAGGTTGGCCACTCCCAGGGAGTTTCCTGAGAACAAAATCCATTGACGTCGAGTCCTTGGGGAACCTGTTTGAACACACTCAAGGCTGGTTCTTTTCATGTTGTTTTTAGATTTCGTTAGCCCTAAACCCTCCAGTTTGGGGGTTGCAAAAAAATGACCCATACTCAGCAATCAGTAGCAACAAACTCATCACATCTTCAACATGTACTCTGGCAAATTAAACATGGAAGCGTACGGAACACTACTTTGCCCGCAAAAATCTTATGTCCGGTAGAAACAAACATGTTCCAAACACAGATTTTAAGCGCTTTTTGCGGGCTCCCAAGTCTCGATTTCCAGCAGGGCACCTTGCTGGCATAGGACAACAGCGGTTGAGGCTCCATATGCCTCGCCAAAGCATGGTGCCACAGGAAACCCCAAAAATCAACCGGAGGAAGTTCCGTGTGTCAACTCCCCCTAGATAAATGTATATAAAATAATATATTATAATATAGTCAGAATCACATCATATGGGTAAGTGTATGCATACATAAGAATATATACAAGAATATATACACATATCTAACCATGTAATGTAAGCCTTTACAAAGCTACGCCAGTTCTCTGTCGACCAGTCGCCTTGAGAAGGATGGACTACATGGTTAGACAGGGCGGTTTCAGATATTTCTTGTTCCATCCTATCTGTCATTCTTCTGACATGGAAAAAACAATGGCTATGTAATAGTGGTGAATAATAGCTAATAATGGGTCTGCCCTCCGGTACTCAAACGTGGCTCGTAGGAAAATCCCCTTTGACGACTATCGAATTTGACTGGCATATTCGTGGGAAAGCGTCAAACCACCGACTATGTCGTTCATTTAGATTCATCTGCAGCACAATTTAGCTATGTGTTAATGTTCTGTATGTTCTGTTGTAATGTCTTAATCGTGCAATTAGACCCCAAATTTCAGCGGTCATATCCATTTACATTTTGGTTCATCTGAACTATTGGATTGGATTCCCTCAACTTTGGATGGAGCATCAGCAACAACCACCACTCTTTCACCAAACTTTTGCACTGTATTGTATCTTTCAAAAAACACAGGACATACATCTGAGATCATCTGAGCATCATCTGAGCTACAAGCATATCATAGCATATCTATCCCATCTTGTCGTCCTGGTTGCTAATAAAGACTCCAACTATAATAGGTCAGTTCAAAATCCTTCTTGAACCTGGTGGCTCAATGACCTGCAAAACATGCTCCAACGAACCATGATGGTTCAACATGTTCCAATTGTAGCCCTATGTTTAGTAGTTTTGCCATTCATATTTGCGCCAGAGTCAAAACATGTCAAATTTGCTAATACTGTGCAGTATGTAAATTAGTTTATTGACCCTATGATAATGAAGGGATGGCGTCCCCTTTTGTGGAAAATCAACCCAAGCCATTCCAAGCCCATGTGCAGCTTTTCCCAAACATGGATTCAACGATAACATGAGTCCCCCAAAAAAAGTGAAATTATCCAACTATTCCCAGAATGAGCCCAATATAATTCCATATCATTTCATATTTGGTGCTTAAATCCTTGATTAGATCCCATATATCATATATATATATTCATATATCCCATTAACATCTCATTATATAAACCCCTACGAAAAGTAACCAACCACGCCACCCACCCACGCAACCAGCCGAGCAGGTGCCGAGGTACAGCAGCTTGGGATTCTGCATACTCCAGTGCTCTGGCCGCACGACCGGACACATCATCTGGCACGATGATGGATGAAACTGATGAAAAATCGATCAAAAAGCGGCTCTCTGAAGGGCTGGATCAAAGGATTTCGCCGGAATTCAACACCAAAGAAGTTCAAAGTTGATCGAAGCAGCAAAAAACAACAGAATTTGCCTTCTGGTACCGCAGGAAAATCACCAATATACGAATAAATCATCTTAAGACAGTTTCCTGTCACCCATGTTTGGCATTGTTTGGTTACCCAGGGTCAAATCTTGGGTTGTTGCGGAGGGTTCGTTTCTTCTGTTTGTCAACGAAGTCGGAACATCATGACGACAACAGCAACCGCAGCAGCAACAGCCAAACAGTGCCAAACTGGTCGTCCAGTTTAAGAGGGAAAACGATAAGAAACCAATGGCCAATGGATTTGGGAATACAGATGGGTTCTCCTGTTTTTCGGAGAAACCTGATACTGGGGATGTCTCACGAGCAAATTTGCACTTGGCAGCTGAGCTGCAAGGCTGGGCTTGAATTGAATCTTCCAAAAATATGAAACGGCAATGTTGTAAACCCCTCGAATGATACCCTCAAGGGTCTGGGCTTTCAATACCCCCCAAATGAATCCAAATGAATCCAAACGGCACAATTGGGCCAACACCCGAATCCACTGGCACAGGACAATCATGATAAGAAAAACTGAGGGATGTGTAACTGCAAAAACTCCGGGCTAGATGATTGAAACATCAAGAGATCCAACAGGATCCCTCTGGGGCTTAACAGCATCAACAGCCAGCACGACACATGCCAGGAGCCACTTGGGATCTGGTCCTCGCTGGCAACACCGCCGGACCTTGCGATGCTCTGAAATGAAGATTGAACAAGATTTGGGACTCTCAAAACAGGTTTATTCTTTATTATAGGAGAGTTGTAAACACAAAACCATGAGACATCCCCAATTTTGAACCATTTGCCATCTGTGGGGATTCAGACACTAATTATTTAGGGAAAAAACAAAAAAATGTGCAAAACACCGGTTTGGTTGATTTTGGTTGTAGTTAAGTCTCAGTCGGTTTTTCAGAGTGAACCTCATGTTGGAAAAGGGCTACCTAGTCATCAACCAACAGTTGTGTGCTATGTTTCAATCCGCTCCTCGCTGGCTCCCTCAGCACAACTTGTGATCTCATTCAACTATATTCAACCCCAATCAATATCGCACGGACACCCACCTTGAAGATTGGTATAGTCAT